GTCTCACTTATAGACACCAAAATTGGGCAAGGTCGGTCGTTTTGCATTACCGACAAAAAAGTGGAGATAATATTTTGGATACTGTCAGAAAATACGTTGATTTGCGTCCTAAAAACGTGCCTCATCAGAGTGCTTTATCAACTTTATCAACGGCATAAAAAGGGTATTATTCAAACCAAACTTTTTAAATTAAGCGTTAATGGAAGTATTTAGTGATATGCGGTTCATAGCATTGCGTTGTGCATAACCTCTGTAGTGACGACTTTTGAATTGTGCGATTTTTTGGAATAACGATGCAATGTAGAATTTTGCGTGGTACTGGAGAAAACTTTTATGAAAACGTTCCAAAATTTGAAACAAGTTTGCGGATCGTAGACAATGCTGCCACTATTTAAAAGTGGTCGTCAGTTAATTGAAGATGATCTTCGATCAGAAAGGCTTTCGATTTCAACTGATGACTTCCACGATCAGAAAGTCAAAGATCTGGTGCCTGCAAATCGCTGATTGACTGTCAGTAGAGGTTAGCATCTCAGTTGGGTCATGCCGTAAAATTTTGACCGAAAAACTGAACAGGCATCCAGTTGCAGCACTATTTGTTCTTCGTTTGATGATCGAACAACAGAAAGAAAATCGTGTGAACATTTGTCGGCAACTCCTTGAACAATCTAATGAGATGAAACATTCATTCAAAGGGTCATAATGAGATTCGGGTTTACGGCTACAACATTGAGACACAAGTTCAATCTTGACAATGGATTGGCATCTCCACGTCCCAAGAAAGCACATCAGTCTCGATTCAATGTCAAAGTGATGTTCAGTGATGCTCACTGTTTTTTCGACTTTAATGGAATTGTGCATTTTGAATGTTTGCCTCAAGGTGAAACAGTGGACCATGTGTATTATTAAGGCGTTTTACAAGAGTTACGTGAAAAAATCCGCAAAAGGAGATTAGAGTTGTGGCGAGACAACTCATGGTTCTTGTACAATGACAAGGCGTTCGCACATGGAGCTTTGTCAATTCGTTAGTTTTGTGACAAAAGTCAGATTATTATCCTTCTTCATCCACTTTACCATACCTGAGTTCTTGCGATTTTTTCTTATTTCTTAATAGCCATTTCAAATGAACCTATCCAGGACTGCTTCGCGTAGTGTAAACACGTCTGGGAAAAGTGCGTGATAGGGTAGGGGACGACTTTGAAGGAGACAAGGACCAATAATATTATAAAATTAATAATAATCATATAACATATCTTGCATAATATTTTTAAGAAAATTGACGATTTTTTGCAGTTATCGAATTCACAAATGAATAACGTTATTGTTTCCGCCGATCTGTAACCACAATGCTAGCAAATTCTGGTGTTGATTTGATAATAGTTAAGTTTGTAGGGGGGTGAAAGTCATCTTCGATGGCCGGAGTTTATATAGAAGACTCAGTAGCGAGAACGACTGAAATATCCAAGACAATACTTGGTGATGGAATAGAAGATTCTTGTAGCTCTACGTCTATATATTTGTTACAGGAAAAAAGTTCTAAGAATATAAATTTCTGGAAATGTTAATTGTACGATTAAGTTCATATTAATACAAATGGAAATAAAAATTAAAAGTACGTTGTAGGTATACGTATAAATAGCAATAGAAAAAAGTATTTCACCTACCCTTGCTGGAAAACTATTACTGCTGTTAAAACGCTATATAATCTGTTCATTTAGTTGTATAAAGTACATTTCAAAAATTTGCTATAGAAAAAGGTAATGCTTTGTGCTAATAAGCATTGAGTAGCATTAAAATTTAAGATATAATACGCCTTGTAGATTATATCATACCCGTATTAAGAAATTGAACATTTGACTCTTTAAAAAATTTCTGAAGATATAAATTAATAGTGATTTAGATGGAAGTAATTAATATTTGACATGTCTAACTAAGGATAGTTTTTAATTCTAGAAGACATAATTTTTTAGTAATATTAAAGTTTTTAATAATTGTAGATAATTCTTGATAGGCCAACCTAAGAATACTTGAAGAATTAAAACTTACCAACACATGTGCTCTTATTGATTTTAAAATCTAGCAACAAATCTATGTTTATGGATTTATATACTCATTATATTGATAATGATTTATATAGGTGTTAATCAATTAAACAGCTTTACTGTATTTTTACATCTGTAATATTTACTAACCCACAAATTTCATTGACACGTCGATGACGTCGACAAAACGCGGTATTTTTTGGTTTCGTAATTGTGTATATAGGCTGCTTAATCATACAACAGTAAAATATTTGCTAGTGGTACTACTTTATTTGTCAAAACGATGAAGTATGTGGAGATGGAAAGGTTATTCGAGTAAGTACTCTGACACTAACAGTTTTCGGACAGTTCTCTACTAAAGCGACCTTGAATGATAATTATGAAATTCGGTTTTGTAATAATTAACGGAATCGTATCGTATCTCAAGAGAAAACAGAATTTTACTCTTTAATTACTTCACTAACCTAGGCAGTAAGGTTAAATATCATTCTGTTCAAATAAAGCTGAACTAAAGAACCATGTCTGTTTAAATATACATACTTCTTTGCTATTTCAGGTTGTCAAAGAAGGTGGATTGCGAAATACGTTGGCTAAGCATATAGTTATAATAAAATGTGCAATTTCGAAATTTCATCGATGTTAGTACTTTGAGAAATTATATGTTCCTATTATAAATCAATACGTGTAATAATGAAGTTGGCATATTCGCTGAAAATATTGCCTTTTCCAATATTTTGAAATTACACACTGGAGATCATATAAATAAGCTTCTACGAAAACATGTAATTGGTTAAGCTAAAACGATTTAATGTAAATCTCACTTACAATTTGGTATGTATTTATATAGATTTTAAAATGTAGTAGTATAAAGTAGAAAGTAACGGAATTGTAACGAATTGTAGGAAGTTGTACATTATAAACTATAAAGCGGGGTGGATATACCACCCTTTTCCATTGTGACCAATTCTTATCTAATCTCCAAGATCTTAGAGTTTCTCGTCCTCCTAACTAGTCTCTATAGGGCGCTTCATATTGTGTATTTCTTCCGAATCTTTCCGATAATTTAGTTTTCTTAATCCTATACAGTCGCATGTCCTCCTCTTTCTCCTGGTGGAAGGTACTCGGCTGTATCATGACTGCAGTGTCCTGTTATCCTTGTTAATGTACGACTTTGTTACAATAGATCTACCCTCAGCTTATTCAATGGATTTTTTCATTCCATATTCCTGGCTTACTTCTGCCTAGAGGTTGCCTATGTTTGAGCCATATTTTTCACCTTATTGTCTTAACAACGAAGCTATCAATGTTGGAGGAGTGTTCTGGCTGATCTCGCTCTGGCTAACTCATCAGTCAAAGCATCCAAAAACTCCATACTAGAACAGTATTTGATTTGGTACTACTTGATTGCCTTTTTGACGATAGGACACCGAAAGTGTATAGTACGTAAGGTGGACTACAATGGACTTGAACTCATTTTTCTGAATGTTGCAGTTCCGACTCTTGTGTCTATCACGTGACTAGATTAATTGGTTGACTTCTTATCCTTTCTCCTCTTTTCTTTCTGATTTTACTATATCGAAGTTCTTTTGAAGAATTAAGTGGTCATTCAGCATTCCTAAATAGGGATGTGCCATTAATTTATTCTATAGCTTTTGGTATTCCCTACCGAGCCTCCAGTGGGTGTCCTTGTTGTAGTATATAACCTACAGACCTAGCTGCTCCTTGAATGAGGACATTGAGTGGTGGTAGGCCTTTAAAGTAGTGGATGTAGTTCTTATTGCCCCTAACATTTCAGCAAATTACCACTTTACCACCTCTTGGCCTTACCATCTTTATACCACATTATCAGGAGTTCAAGCCCATTTTATATCATGGTTGTCAGTATCTCCAAAAATTATTGTGGGTCCATACAAAATTTTGTTAATCTCGGTATAATTTATTTACACTATGTAAAAACCATCGAAAACGCATACCTACAATTTAGTAAGTAAATTTGATTTTCTATAATAACCAAATTTGACGGTTAAACAATTTTAATCAGGTCTATTCCATTAAATGTTACAGTGTAATGCTTCATAATAAATATATCAAAGTCTGCAATATCTGTTTATACTTTCACTTCTATATATATAATGTTGAATTGGTACACAATTCTTAATTTTTTGTGCCCTACTGTTGGTTATTCTGTTATATAGTACAAGTAGGTTAGTTATCAACAACATTTGGAAACCAAGACGTGATTTCTTAATTAATTAAAATATCAATGTGTTATATATATATATATTGCTTAATGCTCATTTACGGCAAAAATGATAATTACATATAATACAAAGTTGTTGGGAAATTAAATCCTTAAAAAATGAGAACAGCAACTGATTATTAGAATAATAATAGGCATGTTAGGTATTTGAAGTATACCAATAACAATTTTACGATAGATTTCTTATTCTACATTTACCGTAAATTCAAATAAATATGAAATAAAGATACAATTTAAAACGCAAAGTTAGTCCATTCAACGGTTGTTACTTTAATCTAATTTTTGAATATACTTAGTATACGTATTCAAATTTTTCTTAAAGCAACTGACTTCTAAAACTTTTAAATTTTAAATATTCCTTACTATGTCTTAAAAATATTTCTATTTAGATGCATGTTTCGTCGTGGATATTCCAGAACAATATAGGTAATAGAAAATGCAAATCATTCAGATTAGCAACTAATACTCGTTTAATGGTAACGTAAATATTGATTGTTAATTTTAGTTTTTCCGAACTAAATATTTTCCATATTTTTACTATAGATATAAATATACCAGACAATAAGAAAATTCTTGCTTTAAACTGTCTATAAATATTGTCCTCTAAAATGTTAATAAATCTGAGACGCATATTTATAATAATTAGCAGGTAGGTGCTATTTATAATTTATCTAATCATAGAAGAGCGCGAAATAACTTACTGTGTTATTATTTTTGGTCAAGTTGATAATGTGTTCTGCTTCTTCCCAAAGAGTATCCATTTTTGCGATGTTTCCAAAAGCGCGAAACACAGAAACACAATTCACAAAATCCAAAGACGTTAAGGTAATGTAACTGAAATTGTAACCGTATAAATAACAATAATTCACTGTCACTCTACTGGAACAAAGTAAATAATGAAAACAGAAAGTAACTGCGCGAAGTGTGTACAGCAAAATCAGAGGAACTTTTACAAAACTAACAAAAATGTGTTTAGTATAAAACTGTATGAAATATAGCTCCCCACTCGCTCTCTGTTTAAAAAATTATATCTAGTTTTAAGTCGCTGTACTTTGGTTGAGACAGTGGGGGTAGATCCATTGGGCTTGATGGTACAGCGTGTAACTTAAAGGTTAATATATTAAGAATAAAAAGTATAGAATCGCTTCAGAGGTGGTGGTGCTAACTGGAGTGTTGGGAAATGCTTGGGTAATGCTTGCGATATGGAAGTCGGACTTCTGCTCAGCGAATTTTGATAGTTCCTTGATTTGATGAATTAGTATCCGCTTTGAGTAACAACGAAAGTTTTAAATGGTTGCTTATTACAAATTTATCGAAATGGAAGCACAATTAGGAAGCGACATTATTTAACCAGAAATAATTCTTAATGAATAGTGTAATCTAATAATCTTTTGTCAAATTAAATCATTGTTTTGAGCCAATTTTTGAAGGTACATATCTAATGTTAATATTTGTATATCACTCACTATTGTATATTTTTCATTTAGGTTTAAATCAATCCTTTAAAAGTAGTTAGGTAGATTAAAAATCTGAATTTATAATTAAAGAAAATGAAACACGTAAAAAATATCCCAATACTTATGGTTGTATTTAACTTTGGAAAGTGATTATTGCTAAGGCGGTAAATTCCATTAAAGTACTTATATATTTTAATTTTTTTTTAGTCGTAAATTACTTATAACTCTTGTACTTCAATATGTCAGCTAGATGTAGATTTTTTCTTTTAGAATATTATGACTAGAACATATATATATACAGGGTGTCTGTAAATAGGTGCGAAATATTTTAGGGGTGGTTGCCTAAGTTATTTTGTGAAAAAAAGTTCATATAAACGTAGATCGAAATATGCTTCGTTTCCGAGATCAGAGTATTTACATTTTAATTTTTTATTTATTTTTATTAAATAGTTCAAAGAGTTTTAAAGATGTTGACTCGAAATTTGATGGTTGTATTTTATTTAGAAATATTGGCAGCAACCTACTAGATAATGTATCAATAGAAATTAAACATACACAACTTAAATATGTTTTTTTTTTCAAAAACGGTGCATCCTACGAAAAAAATGAAGATACCAATTTCATTCAGAATTGATGGCGGATTTTAAAAAAAGTATCAAACCGGGAAAAAGAAATATTCAGATTACCCCAAAAAACGCCCATTTATCCCTCTAAAGCGTTTTTCAAATTTTCTTTACAACTCTGAAATAATTAATAAAAATAAATAAAAAATTTAAATTTAAACACTGTATCTCGGAAACGAAGCATATTTCGACCTACGTTTATATGAACTTTTTTTCACAAAATAACTTCGGCAACCACCCCCTAAAATATTTCGCACTTGTTTACAAACACCCTGTATAATTTCATTTGATAGAAATATAATTTTTATAACTAATTTGAAAGAGCTTAATACTTACCTTTATTAAAGTAAATTACAAATTTATTATTTTCGTTGATTTACAATACATTTTAATTATTCTTAACTTAACTTACCTGTAAAAAACAACTTATACCAGAATTATTAATGAAGGTTACTGGCATACTCGTCAGACAAATGTAAAATTATGGTATATTTCTTATACTTCCGGTAATATTTAATAAAAAAAACCTTTAATATTGTTGAAAAATTTAATAATGCCATATTTTTGCATAGTCACTTATTTAGAAGGTTTAAATGAATAAAAAACACTGAAATACTGAAAACTACGCATTAAAAGGAATATATTTCAACATGCTTTGGAATGTTGAGAAATCTGATACATCATGATTTTTTATAAACTAATTTAAAGTAAAAATTTATTAATCTGGTCAGTTTTAAATGTTCTATTTTTTGTTAAATTCAAAAAGTTAAATTCATATTGAATACGTCTCCAATATTTATTTTATAATTTATTCCAGCAAAAAAGTGTAATGCCGTAATTTGTTGACGCAAAACATAATTAAAAACTGTTATGGTTTGTTTATTATAGTTTTAATTTGTTTTATACAATACATAATAAACAAATGCTTTTATATGGACTACATCAGAGTACTAACCAGTTTTAGAGAAAACATCGATATGGTGGTAAAGGTTTTGTTTTAATTAATACGTAAGAGAAAAACAAGAAATCATTATTGTGGTAGTATTTTAGTAGTATACTCACTTAAATTAATTCTAAAAATTGTCCGAAATTCTTATTAAATGGCATTTTGACACCTTTTGGTATCAAAATAAACATAGGTACTCTATCCAAATTATGCTATTAAAAACATTTAATTCCTATTCTTATTGGCCACAGATTAATACGAAATGCAGCCACTACACATTAATTAATATATTTTAAGGATTGTTCTCTCAAGTGGTCTCTATCCTAAAAATGAGATTAAATGGATATTTAAATATTAATGGGTATTAAATATAAAACAGAAATTTTGAAGTGATAATGTCAAAAACATGAAAATCTAATTAGAATGTGAATTATGAGTTCATGTATCCAGATAAATTTTACCATTCCATTTAATAATTTTAATAAAGTTAAACGTTTTTTATTATTAATTCTTATATACTTGTATCAGGTTCATTATTTTAAAGATATTAAGCCAAAAGTTTTCATGAGCCGAAACAAAGTATTTTGTTTAAAATTTTGTGCACAAAACCTCTAAAACAACAAGATACATCTAAGTTCTATAAAACATGTTGTCTACTGCACCTATATAACTTCAATTATGAGTGAAATAAAATTTTCGGAGCGGTATAGATGAGGTAGCAAACCATTTTTCGATACTAAATATTTTGGAAAGTCAAACCATCGAATCCTCTAAAGGATTTCCGAAAATTAGTGATTTCCGAGATATTTTTTTTAAACCAAAGATATTTTTTCTAAATTAATTTTATGTTATATATATTTAGGTATTTTGAAATTTCTTTGTAATAACAGTAATAACTCAAGACTTGTAGCAATTTTTTAGTTTTTATGAAGTAGTAAAACTTACTAAAAGTAGAGGTGTTAATAACAAAGAATATGTTATTAAAATTAATTGAGTCAGTAATTTTTAAATTATTAAATGTGACATAAACATATATCAAAATGTTATCTATTTTTAAGTAACTTTATATACTTATTTATATGATACATTAAATACACACTTTACTATCAGCGTTTGACTTTCACGTAGTTTTGGTAACTTACTATAAATCTAATAGACACAAATGTCTTCTTAAAATTTTCCATTTGCGTTATGTATCATAACTGAAGAACCTGTTAACCTATTGCAACTTATCCGGTTTCATTAAATAAACAATTAATAATAATTAGAAAAAAATCATTTTATGTTTTGTTCTCTAACTACAATAGATTTGTAATTTAAAGAAGTTACTTTAAGGAAAATGTTCTGTCTGGAATTAGTAATAATTTGACAATTTACGTATGAAAATACGCATCCGCAGATGGGAAAAATATTATCTAATTTTCGGTTTAGAGAAATTTAAAAAAATTAAGCTGTTTTAACAGTCAACTTATATTAGGTATTAGATCTCGTTAAATTTTATTTAAAAAAGCGAACAAGAGAATTCATTACAAGTACGGAATAGTAATATATGTACCAAGGGAGATACAGTGATGATCATCCTAGTATCTCTCGTGGTGCATACAATGTTTCATTTTTTACTTAGACATTTGATTTTATATTTATTTTAAATCTAATATTTAATAATTAAATATGAGAATGAAAACAGTTGATTCAGGGGTGATTCACAACAGGGTGATTGACAACTTATCCAAACAAAAATTGGGAATAGATGCAGCATGAGAAATGGAATCAATATCGTAAAAAAAAATTTGTAAAATCCTTATAATTTCCGAGAAAATATTGAAGTTATAGTACATTCAACCACTACATAGCTGGACAACTGTAGTCTCTAGCGTCATTCGCCACGTGGCCTCAGCGACTCCGCATACTGAATTCGGATTTTGCAATCGTCGTTGAGATATTTACCTGTTATCTGTGGTGTTTACAATAGGTTTTTAGTAGTGAGTGTCAAAAATGGGTAGTTAGTGTCAAAAATGGTTTGCGTGTACTCGGAGTTGATGGATATCGTTTTAATTTATGGTGAAGCATTTGTGTTATGGTGAAACAAGACAACATTTGTGTTAGTTCGTAGAAACTGAGTACAACGGACCCAAATGTGTTTACACATTGGTGGATAAAATTTTGAACAATTGTTGTAACATCGGGTATGTCAAATGATTTTATTATTTAAAAACACAAATTAATTTTATTAATTAATAAAGGCAAAAGCAGTTGAATTTGCCGATATAAAATAGGTGCGATAAAATTCTATTTACATATTTCTTTCCTTGCGAAAGTTTTTGTCCGTTTTTATCACACCGCCATGCCGGTCGCATTGTGCGAGGTCAGGTTTTACAGTGGACCAGTTTCCAGTGCCGTGCAGAAGTGTATTTTTAAATCATTTTCGAACTGCCCTTTTTGATTTTTTCTTTACAAAATTGTATTTGTAAGGGTCCCATGTACATCCAGAATTTTTTTTTTTGGATAAGTTCTGAATCACCCGATGTATACGATGTATCCAAGATGTATCCAAGATGTATTTATGATGACCCGCAAATATGTTGAATTTGATAGTTTGATGTTTGATTCTGAGGAGACATATTTTGAAAAGGCAGAATGGATAATATTCCGCAAAAGTTGCTGCTAGAGCCAATAAAGCCATTGAAGAATTACTGCCTCAGAAATCTAAATTACCTTATGATAAAGATTATAAACGTTTTGAGACTTGGACAAGCAGAAATTCAGTAACAGCTGTTAGAGAAACTATATGGGATACTTCCAAGAACTGGTGTGTATTAACCTTTTATCACTTTAAAGAAATATCTATAATTTTTGATAATTTATATTTTTTACATATCTCTTAGTCAGAATCATTCAGCCCTAACACTGTGGACAAAGTATTTAATATTAAAGACCACATTATGAGTGGGCAAAAAAGTA